CCCAATTTGACATATGCAGAATTGCAAATAAAGAACGCTAGGCCAGCACTGGAATTGATGTCCATAGAATGGGAGTCTCGAAGTTCAAATGAAGCAACTCGGTGGTTTGGGTCATTCCTGAATATATTTGATACTGCCCCTTCTCCACTAAAGAATTCCACCATGGTCCAGCGAATGCCACAGTCAACATTCTCGGTCCACATCAAAAGCATGACTATTCCCAAGAGTACCTGCCAAATGGTAGGGAGGATGACTAGTATATACTTTTAAAATCATGACTTCTCAAGAAAACACAGTGGGGCCTTGGGGGCGCCAATTTGCGCGAGGTTCATGATAACGCTTCCCTCTCTCTTCACCGCCATGCTGAATCCCCCAAGGAGCTTGGATGCAAAACTGCGAACTGGAGATGTGTCAGCACTACACTTCTCGAGGCAGCGAAGCATTTGACATTGCATACGTGTCATGCATTATGAAAAGGATGTCTTCTAAAACAGGCCAGTTGTGCTTCTTGAAGCAGCCCGCGTAGCAAACCGCTCAAAATGTCGTGGCATCGGTACCTGGAGATCAAGAATTATATAGATCGATCTTAGATCATATAATATATATAGATACGATATATATATATATATATGCATGACTCGGATTAGCCTAAAGCCCATACCAAAATTGCAATAGAGCTCTCGCGGAAGGCCTTTTTTGCAGGCAGTCTTGTCTAAGCTAGGGTCAGCAGCGCACCGCAAGTAGCCCCCCTGAAATGATTATGTACTCACAGCTTGTCGTGCCAATCCATGCCAATTAAACATGCCCATGGCAACTGACAAGCGTCGGTGCACGGAATCGCAATAAGCCCAGCATAGGCAATCTTAGCCCATCAATCCCCGGCAATTGGATCATCCCGGATCAAAGCGTCTCAGCATAGGCCTGGGCAGAGTTGGACGTCTACGTATGTAGGGTCCGTGCAGGTATGATCATAGAACCCCCCATGCATACACATGCATACACAAACTTTGACCAAGACACCTTCTTTGCCGCTGCACGCTTCTCCTCCTCTGAGCCCTTTGTACTGCGATATGCCTTCGCATAAGCGCATGACTTCCTGCTGTTCCTCTTCTTGGCCTCCTGCTTTAAGCGTTCCTTCTTGGCTCGCTCGAGGCAATCGCGGGTCCTTTGGGAAGGAGTGCCTGCGCTGCCAGGCTCCTCCTCTGATGGCTTTGCCATCACCATAGGACCATTTCCATGGGCGCTCGGAGGAGGTGTCAGCTCACTTTGCTCTTTCTTGGCACGTCTCTTTTTTGGCTTCTCACTCTCACAAACCTCAGGAGTCTTGCATCGCTTCACTCTTTTTGCCTGGGCAGGTTGGTCTTCACGTTGTTCTTCCTGCATTGCCGCTTTCCGCGTCCTCTTCCTCTTGGGTTCTTCTTCATCTTTCTTGTTGCCTTCAACATCCTTCTTAGTTCCTCTCTTCCGAGATTTCTTCTGAGTGTTGGCATCCTGCTTTTCCTCCTCCTCCTCCTCCTGCTTTTTGGCTTTCGACTTTGGCTTCCGCCCACGCTTTTTGGGTGGACACTGCTCGTCAGGGTGAAGGTATGCGTCAGCACCCCAAGACTCAGGCTTTGCTGGCATTTCCACTTCAGGCTCTTTTACTTCTTCAGCATTCTCCTTCTTCTTTCTTGACCGGCGTGCTCTTGCTTCAGCTTGGGTAATCCACGTGTCAGCTCTTATTTCAAGAGCAGTTTTTCCATTTGCGAACCGCACATTCTCCATCAGCTTGGTTTGTGAAGAGGCTTCACCTTTGGACACCCCAGCTTCAGCCTTGGGCACTGCATCTTGGGGCGCTGACTCAACTTTCTTTTGAACCTTGCTTCCTGAAAGAAGCTCAGCATCCTCGTCCTCTTCCCTATAGCACGCAAGCGCCAACTCCCAGTCCAATTTTCGGCACACATCCATGTCGAATATATTCACTTTGGTCTGGGAGATTGGAACATCCCAACCTGGCGGGATGATCATCCGCTTCTTGCATCTCTTAGGCACGGTCCCCGACTCCTCCCTTTCCCCACCCTCATGTGGCATTTCTTCTGCTGAAGCCTCACCGCCATCAAGTTTCTTCAATGACCTGACTTCATGGTGGCCAGACTGCTCAGACTGCAAGCTGCCAGAAGGGGCCATTTCTTCCTTTTCATTCTCACGAATCACAGGCGTCGTTCTCATGGCCTGTGCACTTTCTGCATGTGAAGCTTCATTGCCCTTCCTTGTCTCTACATTCATGATCTCTGTCACGAACATTTGTTGGGTTTCGGCAGCATCGCAGCCTCAGGTGAGTTGTCATTGTTGGCAGACACGAAACGTGTGCGCTTTTAATTGCACATATTAAGCTATAAAAGTACCATTCCAGTTCATGCAAGAAACACGGACCCATGTGTGGATGGTACCATTGCTGCTGCAGTTTCTTAAGCTCAGCGAGGCTTCGCAATTGCGAAAGAAGTGATTGTAGCATGCTCAATTTGCGCAGCCTGTCATCAACCTTCTCCGGTGTGTTGTTCACGACCATGGGGCCTGCGCATGTGAAGAATATGCATGTATATGCATGCATGTTCATACACTGTACTGGCGCTCACAAGGAGTTGACCCTAAATTCACACATCACCACATGCACAGACACATTCAACAGTGCTGCGAATCTGGACGCCTCGAGGTGGTGGGGTCACCAACGCAGAGCCATTCATTGCAGAGCTTGGAGACGTGGCACTTGGTGGAGCCTTGGACCGAGCGAAAGCAGGATTACCCCAAGGACCCTGAGCATGTTGGTCGAGCTGTATAGCTACATGCACTCAACCCGGAAAGAATGCCGAGTAAGTAGCAGGTGTAGCTGCGACAGGAGGTGGATGTGCCACAGTCGTCTCCTTCTTTGGCATCGATTCACCTAAGATCCCAAACTTCATAGTACGAGCATGGGGGATGTTGAGGTCCAAACGGAACAAACAACATCCGGCAACCGGTACTACTTATAAAATCATATCCTAGGAACCTTGAGGTGGTTCATGGTGCACGGGTCCAGGTTCTACAGCTTCTAGAGGAGGCTGAGGAGGATTTTCAACTTCAACTTCAGGATCCTCCACCGCCTCATCATGTTCCTCTTCACCTCCTTCACCTTCTTCACCTTCTTCACATTCAACCTCGAGGTTCTCATTAGATGCAGGCCCATACAAGGACAGATCCACCCCGGTTTCAGACATCAGCCTGCGGATGCTATCCTCTCTTGGCAAATGTTGGCGTCTGACAATGTCGTTGTAGAGGGACATCATCCGCCGCAGGCACCAGGCTTGGCCATGAATGACACCACCTTAGTATGTTTTCTCCCAGGCAGTGATATATATAAAAATATATGTTAGTGATCATGCAAAGAACCTGGGTGGAGCAGAGCATATGCGGCTTGGGCGCCATCGATGGGAACCTTCATGAAATCATAAAGACTCTTCAGGTGGAGGTAGTTCACATCAACCCCAACGCGGGACCCCAAGTGGTTGATCGCTTCCTTGAGTACTGCCTCATTTTGGGTCAGGGCATCACGTGTGATGATGTTGCCACCAACGATAACCTTGGATTGTCGAGGCCGGAATGTTAAGAAGTTGCAACCTGAAACAGTGCATGGTGAATCACCACTCCCCCAAAGCAAACAAGTAGCAGCTTCGCACCTGCGGGCCCTGAGTCTAATAGCTTCTTGTGCTTCCCACGCTTTAGCTAGATCGGTTGCCATGGCCACCCTGAAAGGCAAAGTAGATTGAGCCGAACTGTGCCTGTTAAGCCAGAGGTTGTACAAGACATTATGCATGGTCATGTCAAGAAGGCCACCATGACCACTGTGAAACCATAAAGCGAAGGCGCACCACAAGAGCAAGGCTCAGTCCAATCAAAGATGCGAAGACGCACCGCCTTAGCAAGACTCAGTCCCTCGAGGTGGTGGGGTCACCAAATCTGGATGCCTCGTGATGTCATGGTTTCAAGATGTTTCCTTAAGTCATACCTTGCAAGTGCAACTCAAGCCATACTGCATCCCAGGGACATCAAACAGACATGGCTATCCCACTTCGTGCAACATCGGATCCTGAGATAGACAGCAGGTGTGATTAAACATGACCTGCCCTTAATGCACATGATATGCATATGTGAATACCCTCGAGTATTTCATCCAAGGCTCGATGTACCCGGGTGCCAGCCGACACCGCTCTTGAGTCGAGCCAAGGATTGCGCACACGGCGACACACTTGGCACCGGTCGATGGTGCCAGAAAAAGATGGCCCGGATTCATGTGGATCCACTATGATCCATGTGGTTTTCTTTGGATTTCTAGTGGTTTTAGTGGACTTGGGTGTTGCATAGTAGAATCCAACGTTTATGACCAAAAGACTATCATTTCCTAACTTCACGTGAGATTTCCTGGATTTGGAAGGTCCAGGAAGTGTCTTTCTTCCTCTATGGTTGGTTTCCACATCTTTGGCTTCGCCATTTCTTGGTTTGGACGATTTTGGACTGGAGGCGACTGTTCTAAGGGTCTTTGGTAAGATCCAAACAAAACAAACCCAAACCGAACCAATTTGGCGGTCGACCGTGCTCTTCACACACCGAAACATCCGCCAGCCATCAGAGACCTGCTGAAACCCAACCGACGCGCCCAAACAGATGGAAACAACCGACGGACCTATAGGGTTTCTGAAGGAAACCGGAGGTGTCCAAACTACTTAGAATATATGGGTCTAGTACGGATTAGAAAAACAAGACCCGAGGTTTTAAGAACAAACCTGACATTTGTGATTTCACAAGTTTCGATATCGAGACCCCAAACAAATTGACAGGGTTTGGGTGCATAAGGTGGTTTCGAAAGAAGTCCACAGGCCCTCCTCATTGTTCACATCAGTTGAGCACCTCAAGCGAACACCTCAAGTTGGCATTCAGCCCGTGGACGATCTGCCTGGTGGTCCACCCGGTTTTCACCCCAAAGACGCCTCACCCAGCTCGAGCGGCCGCCGCGGCGGCCTGGTGACCGTAGGAAGAGGTCCGTGGGTCCGGACTGAGGCGTGGAGCATTCGGATCTGTTTACTGCGAGGGATCGGTTTGTCCCGACATCGAAAAGCCACAGAAGGCAAGCACCGTCATCGCAGCCCGACATCCTAAGACCTCTGGGATGGGCTGGACATCACCCGATGGAGTTTTTTCAGCAACACAGGTTGACTTGGACTCATGGTGGCCACCGAACGTGCTGCAAACACCTTAAGTTCATGGAAAGAAAAAGGACTCATCAGTGAACAAAAACACTTTGGAACCCTTGCTTACACAGCTGCCCATTTGTGCTTTGGATAAAATCAGCTCTACAAGGCCAGTGACGAGGCTCAAAAGGCACCCAAACCCGCGGGATGAACACAAACACTGTGAATCCCAGCGATTCATTCACCTGCAGCCATGTTTGGGGAACAAGTGTAGACTTGCAAAAGTTCCTGGGCAACTCCATTTCCCGCTGTGTTTGACATCCATCCCATATATGGCCCTTACCTACCATCCGATTATCATATATAATATGCATCCCATTGTATCCCTATCATTCATGAGGCGAGTTTCATGGGGGGACCAAACTCAGTCAACGCCTTCTTTCTCAGTCTCAACCCCGGCGGCCCTTTCCCATACCAAGCGAAGCGGCCCTTGCGTCGGCGCTGAAGTCACTGGCCTGGCACGGGCAAGTTGGAAAATGAAGAGAGGCAAAGTACGGATGAAGAGAAAGTTTGGGGTTCGCCAAATCTGCTTCCAAAGGGAAGAACAGCGTGGAGCTGCCGTTGGCTTAAATGATCCTCCTGTTGCAAAGGCAGAGTGCTATGCAAAGGATCACTGATGATAAGGATGAACAAGAATCACACGCCGGTCACCGTTTGCTTTCTCCAGCAATTCCTCATTCTACGAAAGGTAGGACAAGGAGTCGCCTGCAATGATGTCCTTTTGGGAATTATAGAGAGGTGAATTTGGTATTATGTACGGTATATGTACTGTATATTATATATATATTATTATATATATATATATTGGTTGTACCATGCTGTACCCTCGGGACAATTCCAGTGGGTATCCCTTCTATTCATCAACCGAACCAATAGCAAAAGGACATCAAGCTGGTGGCCTTTTGGAGTGACTCTTCGAAGGTCGGAGGCTCCAAGGTCCTTCCTTTTTGTCCACTCATGTGGGCGCATCACTTCGGTGCTAGCCATGTCCAGTCAAGCAGCAGCTTGCTCAGCTTGAGCAAGAGAGTCCTGTTGCCTTACCGTTCCTTCTTGTGGAAAATCATGAATCCTAGACTCATAGACTCTCCAAGCCATACCACAAACTAGATACAACGATGTAACACCAAGCCTCGTGGACGCTGCCAATGACCCCACTCCCGCTCTCCCACCGACCCCGCCTGGGTTGCTGTGGAGGTGGCGGCTGTGGCCTCCGCTCACCGGGTCGGAGAAGACAGGAGGACTGGACCATGGGCAAGGAGGGACCAGAACATAACGTCCGAACTCGATTACATCAAAATAGATCAAAACTAGTAAGCTAAATGTCAATATGTGTGACTGTGTGACATTCTTCACAACATGATAACATGCTGAGAAGAAACATCTAACGCCTTGATTTCCAGGACTGCTGTCAGTAGATCGGTGCAAAGGTCCTTCAACAACCCTCCTGGATTCACATTCACCTGTAGGGTTGCTCCTGGAGCAGCGTGGTGTCCAATGAACTCCACACAATGAGTAGTTTTGAGCCTTCTTCACAGGTGCTTGTCTCAATCTGGAAGACCATCAACCTGTGATTTCTTGGCTGTTCTCCTAGCCTATCTTTATATCCAATTTCCCCATCCAACCAGGGTTTGTGAGGGCTCCTTTAAATCTACAGATCCTCAAAACGTCACTCAAGTCGGTATCGAAGGATCCTCGTCTTCATCCAGTTTCACTCAGCTTCACCTGCCTGCCCGAGGGTCTGCCAGGTCGGGAAGGTCTGGCAGGTCGGGAAGCTTTCACTGATGGCCTCCGGTGGGACAGCTTGGAACCGGAGAAACACGTTGATGCCTTACCGCCATCACCACCATGACCACTACTACAAGTATTACTACAAGTACTACTACGAGTACTACTACTACTACTACTCCTACTACTCCTACTACTCCTACTACTCCTACTCCTACTACTACTACTACTACTACTACTACTACTACTACTACTACTACT